TCCCATTTAGACTGTTCTCATTGCCTTCCATCTCAGTCATAACTGAGTCCTGCTTTTCCTTCTTAAATGACAATGATTCTTTTGATGTCTGTGAAAGGGACAATTGAGCTGATCCTCAGACTTCATAAATGATTCTCTTCATCCTTCACTTCTTAAAGATCCAGTTAAATCTGAGTGTCTATTATGCTTTCAATGTAATTACCAGGCACAAAAGAAAATGTCATCCTTTATAATCATAACTGGAAAAGACCATTTGTGTTTTCCTCCTGTGTGTGTGTTGAAATTTGCATAATGAGATCATGTAAACTTTACTTTTTTCTCTGCAGCTCACAATAAGAGGCTTTCATAGTGATGCCATGGTTGTTTTTCAGTGTCAGAACCCCAATCTGAAAACAAGTAGTTCAGTGGCCCATAATTTACTCTAGACACATAATGATTTCTATCACTTAGAACAGCTATTGCTAATATTTCACAGACTAGATGATATACTAGAAATAGCTGTGATCTAATTTTGACCTCAATATTTACTATTTTCCCTTTAGGAAGTGAATTCTGAACTGTGAATTTCCAGTGTAATAGGTTTAAAACTATGATATTTTGTCCATATTGGTATTTGGAAGAACAAATATGGAAGAACTTTTTTTTCTGCTTTTGAGGTTTTACAATGAATTTGGTCATCTAAGTTTTATTATTATCCCGGCACTAGAAAAAACACTCAGTAATATGCAAGAACTCAATAAAACATTGCAATAATTCCCTTCATATTTGGTGCTCATTTGATGCAGCCACTTGCCTTCATATGGGCAAACGGTATTTGAGAACTTCAGTTTAGTGCCAAATGCCTAAATTATGGAAACCAATCTGTGAAGATAGGCACCAAGATTCCAAATCTAAGAATCTGGACCAGTACAGATCCACCCTAACCCACACTATTATTAGGCATGACAAATATACATGGCCAGTGGGCTGTCTCAAGGTCTTCATACATTTTATTCATAGCACTAATGTCAAAATATCACAGCATAGATAAATCTGAATTAATTTTTCTCCCACTGTCTCCTTACACTAAACATAGCTAGCACAACAGCCTTCCTTGACTCACAAACCTGCTCTTGCATTTGGTCTAAGGTATGGGGCTGTAGCATCCTGACAGCTTTTCAAAATACAGAGCAGTTCTACAAATTTGAGTCTTCAACATATTGAAATCCAAAATCACAAACCAAGAGGAAATAGCAATGTTGACTTTTATTTGGTGGAATAAGATGAAGCTAAGCAGAGTTGACTAAGAAAATAATTCTGTAAAGGAGAACCAGCCTTTCTTGTTTCGTTTCTCTTGAGAATTCTCATTCAGGAATGATTATTGGAAGGGCTTTCCTCATTTACTTTTGCAATACATCAAAGTAAATGGGAAATTTGATGGAGTTTAAATTGTAAATTCATGTGTTAGATGTTTCAAAAAGGGGGACAGATTTTGAATGCTTTTATAATAAAGTAATGATGCATGTTTCAAGAGCCCGCTTATCCTGATTTGAACATTACACAATATATACATGTATCAAAAATGATACCCAGTTAATATGTACAATTTCCATGCTTTCATGAATCAGTAAAAATATCTGAAAAAGTTCCCTAAAAGTAAAATAAATTGGAAATTTATTCTCTCACTGAATAGTGTTTTCAAACCCCATCAACTTCCATTTTCCCACATTTACTCTTCTTGCATCCTGTTTACCTTCAAATTGTACAGCAGCAGATTTCTATATCCAGGATGACAAATTTCTAAATAAAGTTGTGGTTTTATTTATCTATTAAATTCTAATCATATCTTGAGGATTACATCGTCTGAACAGAAAATATAGCCATTTCCAGATGTCCTTAAAATCCATTTGTGTGCTTTGGAAAGAAACTTAAATCTTGTTATCTATAAAGATATAATGGAGCTGTAATTCACATTCATTCTGGGAGGCCCAGGCATTTTTTTTTTAAATGGGAACACAGTAAAGAACAAACATTTAGACAGAAGTGAAGTGTGCCTTCTTAAAAAATTAAGAGAAATGGTCACTGTGGATATTTGCTCACAAACCAAGCATGAACAACTCTACCTAGTCATCCAGACATAGCGGTGCCAAGGCCTTTGAGAACAGAAGCTATTGATTAATGAGCCAAAGTTAAAATATTAAGAACTTATATAAATATTTTGAGGCTCACACACTTTTTCTTCAGAACTAGGGGTGTTTTCTATTTAAAAACACGTTGAGGGTAGGCAATACTGAAAAAAGCATATATGGAGAGAGAGAGAGCATGTGTTTAAGTGCTCAGTTTTAAAAATTAAATTTGTGCCTTAAAGATCACTTTTCAAGGGATGTGTGAAAAGAAAATAAGTTATAAGGGTAATAGGCTATAGAGACTCAAAAGAAGGGATGGAACATGACTAAACAGACATTTTTTATTAGGAAGATGTCACTTGCTAGCTTGGATTTGGGCCGAGAAGGACGAGAAACTGCCTAACGGGTAGTTTACCATTAAAATAACAGATATACCTAAGATTTGTCTCCCTTCCTCCCTTTCTTCTCCCTTTGCTTAGGAAACCATATCCTGAGCATAGTACTTTTTTGTTTTTAAGTTTACAACTAGTTTTATACCTTTACATTTTAGCAAAAAAAATTTAACTTTCTGGTAGTATGGGGGTTCGAAGTCAGGTCCTTGAGTTGTTAGGCAGGTGCTCTACCAATTAAGCCATGCTTACTTAAAAGTTTCTTTTTCCTCTTTAGGAAATTATAACTGTCCTTCATCAATTTTGTTGTTTTAGTAGCTTCTTTTTCTTTCCTAGGAACTATTTCATTCTTTGAAAGGACTAAACGAAATTAGAATATTTACATTGAGGCTTTGGGCCAAAAGGAAATCAGCTTCCTCCTAGCATCAAATATGTTTGGACAAGAAAACATCCAACAAAAAGAGAAAACTGGGTCACCATCTGCTAGAATTTGTTTCTTGACTTTCCCAAAAGGCCCATGTGCTAAAGGCTTGTGTTCAGTTTGTTGTGCTATTGTGAGGGAGTGGAACATTGAGTAGGTGTGCCTAGTGGAAGGAAGGAAATCATTTGAGGCCTTGAAGGGGACACTAGGACCCAGGCACCTTTCTCTCATTTCACTTCCCAGTAACCATGAAATGAACAGGCTTCCTCTTCCACTTATTCCTACTATGATATATTGCGCCAACACAGGCCCAAAGCAACAGGCCCAAGCAAACATGGACCTTTAATAAAACTAAACTTATAATGAGGCATAAGAAGAAATTAACAATAACATAATAGCATAATAAACATAACAAGTACACTGTAATAAAAGCCATATGAATATGGTCTTTCTCTTAAAATATCTGTCATTTCACTTATTCATGTAAATGAAGTACTTTATGGCTTCTCTTTGGTATTTCTGAATGGTCAACACCAGTAATCTTGACCATCAGGGCCAATGTTAAGTAAAATGAGGGCCAATTAAATACAGGCACTGTGATATACTGCCACAGAGACAGTTGGTCTGATAATGAGAGGGTTTACTAAAAGGTGGTTAGCATAAACAGTATGACAGACTAGACAAAGAGATGATTCATGCATGACAAAGCATGATTTTATATTAGCTAGAATTTACGCAATTTAAAACTTATTACTTCTAGAATTTTCTATATTGTATTTTCAGAATACAATTGACTGTGGATAATTGAAATGGCAAAGAGAACTGACAATAAAGAAGGAATATCATAGTTTGAGAAATATATGCAGGTCTTATTTAGGGAACAGTGTTTAGAACACTACCTAAATCAAAGATCTACATGGGAGTACAGAGAAGACAAGTAAGATTACAAGAGTGGGTTGCACTGAAGAGGCTCTTTAAAGGGACATTCTTGAAAAAAGAAATCCAGAAACCCACTGAAGGTTGCCAAATGGGGAAGTCAAACGTTAAAATCTGTGGTTTAAGATAGTAAATTTAGAGCAATGTTTATTAATATATGTTCCCAGGAACATTACTAGAGTTATGCCAAAGAGATTCTATAGTCAAGTAAATATAGAAAACAATGGGTTTCTTTATGGCAGCTTTTCTCTAAACCACTTTTCTCTAAACCACTCACATGAACCCTGGGAGACTCCTTTTTTATTCTTCACTGAAGCCCACTAAATTATTCAGGGTACCTGACGGCTTCTTGCTATTATCACAACTCCTTGAGCTCTCCCCCAAAAGGGAACCAATACCTAGTTCAAATATTCTGAGGCAATGCTCAGTCATAAATTGTACACTTCAAAATCTGTAACACAAAAGAACAAACAGAGCATTTCTTTTCATCTTTTCATTTGGCAGAGGTATAAATCACTTCATAAATCATGTGGGGCTAACAAAAAATCTTGAAATTCAAGAATTCTGAGAAAAATTCAGAATCAGTATGAAAATTTATGACCAGTTTCCTCTAAGAACAAGCTATGATACTTTAAAGATTATTTAGGGCTCACATCTTAAAATTAGTGGAGAAAAGTTACAATTTGTAACACAGAGTAACTGCTAATGTTTTTATATCAAGGACTACACACTTAAAAATAGAATAATTTTCAAATTACCCACATCAGATATTTGACATGTATATCATGTTATTATAAACGGAAAACTGTCCAATCGATAAAATTTGTGAAATTCACTTCTTAAGTGAAGTGCCTTAAGTTTGGGAAGAAGATTCTTTATGGGTCTTTTGTGAAGAAAGAAGAAAATGACAGTTTGCCTAACTACCCTCCCTCTGCCCAAATGCATTATCTTTTCTCAGGCCTGCTCTCTAGGTGAACCTGGGGAAGAGCTATGATCTTAGTAGGCATGTTATAACTCCATTAGAATGATCTGGAATCCTTTTTGTTTTTTTTTTTTTGGGGGGGTACTAGGGCTTGAACTCAGAGCCTACACCTTTAACCACTCCACCAGCCCTTTTTTGTGAAGGGTGTTTTCAAGATAGGGTCTCATGAACTATTTGCCCAGGCTGGCTTCGAACCACCATCCTCCTGATCTCTGCCTCCTGAGTAGCTAGGATTACAGGCGTGAACCACCCGTGCCCTGCAGATTTGGAATCTTTTACAAGTTTTCTTATGTGGTGTAGACAAAATGTGATTTAGTTTATATTCTGATTCTCCCACAATGGTCCACATGTTGAAGGCTTGCTACCAAATGTGGTGGTATTGGGAGATAACCTTTAAAAGTTTATACCTAATGGGTGGTGATTAAGTCACTGATGTATGCCCTTGCATAGGGTGTGGGACGTTCAACCCTTCCACTCTCTTTAAAATTGCTTCCTTACCATTAGGTGAGCAGTTTTTCTCTGTTAAGGACTCCCACTGTGATGTACTAACCACAGGACAAAAATCCATGGGGTCAATCAAACACAAAATTGAACCTCCAAAAATGCAAGTCAAAATAAGCATTTCACATTTAGGAGTTTATTATCTCACTTGTTTTGTTATAGTAATGAGAAGCTGAGTAGCATAGAAAATGATTGCCAAACATTTTTATGAATGAGCCACAACAGTCAGTAAGAGCCAACGTACTGGAGCCATAGGTGCCCATGTTGCCCAAGCCAGACAGGAAGTCTCCGTAAAGACCACGGGAACTGGGCACTTTCACCCCTGCCAATGTTTAGATGAAGAAACTGGCTTGGAAATGTTGTCCAAGATGACAATTCCTTCTATGGAGAGAAATAAAGTTGAACTTAGGTTTGTTAAACTCCAAAACTCACAATTTTTTTTTTATTATTATACTTTCTCTTTTATGGTTTAGTCAATCTAGTGTTCTGTCTTCTGAATGGGAAAGGAGAAGTGGACTTACTGCTATCATTTTTTCCTTAACAACCTATATTCCCATACCTCACCAGATAAAATTCAAGTGTGTATTTTTTAAAAATTGTATATACTTGAATTATCCTTGAATTTCAAGAGGAATGTGTGGACTTTGCAGCCTCATAAAAACAATTATAAAATTCAATTACCTTTTATCTTAGTTCTTTTTCTACTTCTGAGCTGGACAGTAGGCATCCAAAGAATACTTGGAGCCACACATATAGACAAATTAATTATAAGGAGTCATGTTATTGGCTGTGGAATGTTGCAGAATGTTGTTCAGCACTGCAGAAAGGTATTTCAAGAGAAGAATGTTGTACTTTGGCAGCTGGTCTGCAAAACTAACCACAGAAAAACACTTAAAGCAAGCAATTTTACTTAGCAAGTTGTAAATATAGAGAAAGGAAACTGTAAATTTTCTATGCCATTAATTAAACCCGTTGAAAATACAGAACAAAGGAGACTATATCTTAAAAATAGGACATAGGGAGCAGGGAATAAAGAAGAATGATGGAGGGGGTGAATTCAATAATGATATATGGTGTACATTTTGGCATTTACAAAAGTTCTTACAATATATCAACTGTATCATTCTTGAATTCACTGTGCTTCCATCATTATTCTTTATCCTCCAGCCTCCCATTCCTGGAATAGTTTCAACAACTACCATTTTTCCATTTACATACATGTGTCCACAGTATTTACACTATATTTACCTCCTCAAACCTTTTTCCCACCTTCTTTCTCCTCCCACTGGTACTAACTCCCTCAGGCAAGACCTGTTCTGTCCTTCTGTTCTCAGATTTTGTAAAAGACAAAAAATGACAGCTTTATTTAAGATAGCTACAGAGTTTTTTTGGTGAGATTTCCAAGTATATATGTATTATAACCCAATTTGGTTCATCTCTTCTATTTTTCTTCTTTCTACCTTAGTACCTTTCTTATGGTGGTTTCAATGGGTTTAAAAATTCTACATTCTTCTCGTATAGAGAATACCTCAATCATATTCACCTCCTTAACTTCCGCTTCTTTTTACCCTCCCCCTCTCATTTGTGCTCTCCCCTTAGTGTGACCTGTTTTCCTAATATTACTGTATTTGTATTAGGTCTATAGTCCACATATGAGAGAAAACATGCAGCTTTTGGCCTTCTAAGCCTGGCTAACTTAAGATGGTGTTCCCCAGTTCCATTCACTTATCTGCAAATAACAAAATTTCATTCTTCTTTATGGCTGAATAAAATTCCATTGTATATACAAATACCACAGCATCTTGGCTGTTTCCAATAGCTGTCAGGACAAATGCTGCAACAAACATGGCTATGTAGGTGCCTTTACGTGTAACCTGACTTACATGCTTTCAGGTATATCCTTAGGAATGGAACTGCTTGATCATATGGCAGTTCTATTTTTAGTTTCTGGAGGAGCCTCCATACTGTTTCCCATCGTGGTTGTACTAATTTACACTCTCACCAGCAGTGTATGAGGGTTCATTTTTCCCCACATCCTCACCAACATTTGTTGTTAAACACAACTTTTAAAGTATATGTATTAAGGGATGGCAGAGGAATAGTGAAGATATGGAGCTGTTGCTGGCCCCTTTAAGGATTTTTTTGATTGTTGTGAGGAAAACTGCGTATGATGATACATTTCTGTAGTATTTTCAAATAATTCTTTTAGTAACTTTGCCTTCATTCAGAAGGCAGTGAGGACAAAATGCAGGGTGCTTGTTTGGTAAACACTCAGTAATATGTGTGTTCCCTCTGAAGTAATTTTACTTTATTAATCCTTACTTATCTTCAGTGACAAAATAAATAGCATTACTAATGATGTTATCATGTTGCATGGAGTGCTCAGTCAGGAAGATGGAGAGGGTGGTGAGTGATGACAATGGTAAACATATCTAACATATGAGGCTTTGTAACAACCAGAGTAGCTTCCTTAAATTTGGATTTTGTGATGGGTCTTTTGGTTTTCTGTATTCTTTATTATTGTTCTTGGGTAATCATGATGAGGTAAAGGAATCCTACACCTTTATAGTTATGCTATACTACCTGGATGATGCTGTCACATTCCCTACCTTTAACACTGATGCTGTCACAAAGATGAATTTCCCATCCAAGTCCACTTGGAGTCCAGAATTTAGTCTCTCTTTGAGGGCTCTGCATGAGTTTACATTGCCTGGTTTTTGGGAGATGCCTTCTGTGACTGGCCCTTTTTGATTGATAAAGAAAATCATATCCTGTGTGGAAGGAAAGGAAAGGGCATGGCATTTCATATCAACCAGCACAGAGCACCAGCTCGACCAAGAGTCGTAATCATGCCATACTCATTTCCTATTTGGTTTTTCTCTTTTAAGTGACTGCATCCTCATTTCTACACTTCTTGTATTTCACAGAGTCTTTTCAAATCAAGCTCAAAATTCATCGTCTCCATGAAGCTCACTCTAATTATATTTCCTTCTCAACAGCCTTTTGTTCTTCATGTCCCCTGCTTGCAGTGTAGAAAGATCATGTCATAGTCAGCTAAAACAATAGGCATACAGTTTATTTTACTTCACATTTGGTGTGTGAGTTTGGGCACAGTACAGAGGCTTTCCTTTATTCCCTTTCTGAAGTGCAGACTTTGGAATTCATAGATACTCCCTACATGAGCTGTGAAAGATGCAAGACCCAGGATAGGCTCCATTATGTACTTGACATGATAAACTCGTACATCTAGTGTAAAATTCTCTACATTTAGTAGAGTGCTTGAAGAGATACTGGACATTATATAAATGTTGCTAACATCAATTTAAAATTACACAGGCCAAAATCTGTGACTTCCAGTTGATGCAATGTGTTAGGACTAAAGTATTAATACATGACAGAGCATGAATTTTATACTTAAACAGTTGAAGTAAAAAATCATGACAGATATTTTGAATTTGAAGACTGAATAATCTCACATGAACTGGTACTTAAAGAAGACCTGAGACTAGTGTGGATTTCAATGAAGAAGCCAGAAGAAAATGTTGAAGGAATGTGGAGTCAGAGGTTCACAATAACTGATCTCACTGGATTTATCTAGCAGGTCCATGTGGATTTTTGTAGGATCCAGTAGAATAGACACAAATGTACTCTTTTTTTTTGCGCTTCACTTAAATAATTCTGCAATGCCTCAGTCAGATTTTTGTTCTATGAAGTAATATTAACAATGCTTCTCAGCTAAGAACGGCCTAATGATTTCTCCATTTGGGAATGGAGCTCAATGAAAACACTCGTCACCCCAGCCCAGTTTTCTCTCCCTCTGGAGGTCTACAGAGATCAAAATGAGACCTACCAGAATTGGGATGGGAAGACTGCCATTTTCACAAATATCCATGAGAGAAGTTCCAAAGAACTTTTGCAGCAATTGCACCATACACTGGTCGTATCGGTAGGAGACAGAGCTCTGCCTAAACATCTAATTTGTGAAAGTACATCTTCTTTTGTCTGTCTTCTGCTCTGAATCTAAGGAAGAAGCAAGATTATTGTATGTAGCATTTCAATTACTTACCTTTGTCCCTACTAATTCTCTTTTGTACCAGGCTTGCAGTAATGCAGAACAGAAAAACAGATTCCTTTGTAGTGTAAATGTTCCACTTTCTGAAACTAGTTGTATGCCTTATAGTGTTACTATAGTCCACTTTACCCAAACTTGTAACTATATGACAATAAGCAGCAGAAATTTGGTTCCTGTTAAATACTTCTCCAATTAAATACTTGTTTATATTACAGAAAAAAATATCAGTGGGAGGATACTGGAATGGCAGGGAAAAATGGCAAGACTCTGAACGTTCAATTCAGGTCTAGATCTAGGTCTGAGGCAGATGCAGAAAGTAAGCTTGCCAAGGGGTAGTGTTAGAACTGAATTCAGATTACAACCTGAAGGTATTTTACCCCCAGGATAGACTCCATTTAATACCATCATTTGATCATTTTCTTCTTTGGCCCCAAATCCTGAGAGAACCCATGGATGGGGAAGATATGAGAGCCTAAGTTTCCAGAAAGCATCCTCTTATGAGACAAACAGATATGTACACACATAACTACATATCTAAAATACTCTAGACAGACAGAGAAGAGAGCTTCTATCTCCCTAGAGGTGTGAAAAAATCCTGACTCTCTACAAGAGCATCAGGTCTTACATTCAGGCCACAGAAGTCATGCCAAGCCTGATTCTGTGTTGAGTTTTGTGTTCTTGCCTCTATTGCCCCTTCCCCTCTCGTAGCCTGTAGAAAGCTCTGTGTTATGAGTTCCTTGTCAGGAATGCAGGTGTGAGCTGAGAGATGGTACCTGAAGAAAGGGAAGGGAATCATTGCTCCCCTGCTGTCCTTTAGCTGGGTGCCTTGGCCTCAGGATGAACTGGTCTTGGAGGTCTGGGGATAATTACTCCAGATTGGACCTCTGAAGGGTCAGAGGTCCCTGTGGCATGGATCCAAGGTGGCTCGTTTTAATTCCATAAGGATATTCATGCCCTATACAGAAAAAAAAAACAGAAATACAGATTCAGGCTGATGATGATGGGATGAGCAAACTTATCTTGCCATGACCATGTGCACACATTTGGTGAACAGGGTTCTCCTGGGGCCTCTGAAATAAAGTAGGCTGTGTCTACTGAGTGGACATCTTGAGTATTCACTGGGGAGACCCTGCTGAACAAAGGTGCTCAAGCATAGGTATTTAAATAATAAACAGAAAAAACTGAGATATGTTCCCTTGCATGGAATGCATAGATCCATCAGTGCATTTGCAATGGTGAATGTGAACAAGTGTGCCAATCAAAACAAAACTCAGTTCTTGAATAGATGCAACTTTCTAACAGAAAGGGAACTTTGTCTTCATATGAAATGTTTCTTTAGCAGAACACTGTAGGTTCTGAAACACAGTAAGGGGTCAGCATTGTCCAGGACAATAAATAGCATCTGGTAAGAAAACAAAGGCCTACTCACCCTAAATATGCTCATAATTACAAAGGTTAAGAAAAAGAAGTGAAGGAAAACACGTTCCCCTTCAAAACATAATGTGAGTGGTCTGTGAGGTCCTAAGAAGTCAAAATGAGCACTGTTGTAGTTTCTCTCTTAGGCTGGGCATGGATAGATACAAGGTGGTTTTGCTTTGGGATGAGGCTGATGTGGACTTGAGTTTCTTGTAATTTCCCAAGCCTGACCCTATACCACTTGCTAACCTTTTCTCAGCCTCTGTTTTCACATCTAAAACCTGCAGATGATAGTATCTGTGCTGGAGGGCCTTCAGGAAAGTTATATATATTCCTGGTATAGTTCTGAGAACCCCTCCAATATACCTTAGCAACAAAGAGAATGACAAGTAGTCTGTAGTTTTCAGGACTCGACCTCTATCAGGCTCTTACAGGGTACTTCCCATGGACCCCATGCCAGGGACTAGGTTGTCTTCCTTTCTGTCCTCTGTAAAATATCACTGTCCCTCCACCAACGTGTGTAGGCAATGTCTCTTATCCTGAACAAACCGATTGTCTTTATGTTTGTACATTTTTGATAGGTAGACCTCTTTTCCATTTCTCTGTTCACTAAACATACTGTTTCATTCACTGGATAACAAGTAGATGGGAATTAAATCCTTTATTTACCACTAAGGAAAGTTTGACTTTGGTGGTAAGAAAGAATCCAAACGATTGTGGAATTTTCATTAAAACACAAAAGAAAGAACAGTCTGTTTTGAAATTAACAGATCTAGTCTTAAATGTGGACTCTACTAATGCAGTGACCTAGGGTAAGACATTAGAACTCTGAGCATTGAGAGCCTCTGTCAAACAATGAAAATAATCTTATTTCATAGGGGAGATTTCAGGGGTAGACAAGATGAGATGCATAAGGTGCTTAACATAATACATCACAAGAATATCCCTGATGAATCAAACTTATTACTGTCACTTAGATGAAATACAGCATTTCACAAAGACAATATATCATCTTGAAAGTCTTACCTATGATATGGCATGGCTGGAAGGCAGCAGGAGGGCAGCAATGGAAGATGTTGTTTTCCTAGAGTGACTAAAAAGCTTCTAGGTGAGATTTCCTTTGTCTTTCATGGTATTTGATAAATAATGAAAACAGAGATGGACAGGTAAAGAAATGCCAAGGCCAGTCATTTCTTTCTATCTCCCTGCCTTCAGACAACTAAGTAATCACCAAGTTCTAGGCTTGGTATTAGTTGCATATGTGTTCCTGGTTGAAAGGAATGTGTATCAGTTGGTTAACCTGTCTCCTGCATCTTTTATTTCAACTGCCACTTCCAAGATGGATGATTAGGAACATTGCTCACTGGTCATTAGGAAAACTGATGCCTTTAACTGGATGCCTTGCTTCCAATGCCACCTGCCTGTCAATCCATTATCTAACAATAGCCAGACAAAACACTAAAAATAAATTACTATGGGCGCTCCCCTAGTTAACAACCTTTCAGAATAATATCCTAATACCTATGGAGACCCTGTGTGACCAGATCCTGACAACTTCTCCAGTCTTCTGTGTGACATCATGCCATGCGTTAGACAAACGTTATGACAGGTATGAATTCAATGAACCCCTCCCTCCAAGGGCTAAGTTGTACCCACTTCAGGCCTGCTGCTTTCTCTGCCTAATCTAGGCATGGAGGCTATTTCTCATCTCATAGGTTGGGTTTAAATGTCACAGTCCAGAGTCACCTGGATGATCCTGTCCAATCTTCTCCACATGTCAGCCTGTCTTCTTATTACAAGCATTGATGACAGACTAAAATTTCCACTCCTTTTTTATCTGTCTATAAGTCCAGGCAAGAGGGTCACTGCCTGTCAAATTTGTGATTTGATTCTCTTAATGTTTTTTGAGACAGGGCCTCACTATGTAGCCCAGGTTGGTCTGTAACCTGGATCCTCCCACCTCAACCTCACTGCTGCTGGAATTATATGTGTGAATCACCACAAGCTGATTCTCTTGATTCTTGGTGATATTCTTTACAGGGGAACAGCACAGGATATCCACAAATACTTTTTGGAAAAATGAGGACTTAAAGCATTTGCAAAAACAAAATATAAAACACTTTATATTTTCTTATAGTAAGGATAAGTGAAAATGCCATGTGTTAATGAAAATGCATTTTGTAATAATCAGGAGAGGATGTAGTGCATACAAACCTGAATGTTATTGAACACAAGAAATGAATAACTGAACAAGAGGTAAGAAAAGGTGACACTCTGCCCTCACCAGATGTTTCTGAGTTTGTTGGAGCTGAGGATGAGCAGGTTTTACACTGTGGACTCTGAAGATGTAGTTTTCTCATCCTGGATTCCCATTTCACAAGAATTGTCTTCCTTCTACACATCAAACAAAACAGTTAACCAGTGGTGAAATATGGAATAGAGCTTATGTCAATTTGAAGGGGGACCCCATGCTAAAAATTATAGTTTCATTTCCCTAAGCAGGACGACATCACGGAAATCCAGGAGTCATAGACTTATGGATTTAATCGCTTTAGGAAGGTGGTGAAGAGACTCATTAACAAAGTTAAGAAGCCTGCCTATTCTGAGAGTATTAAAAAGAAGGGAGCAATCAGCCATACCAAGTGTTACAGCAAGGCCAAGCAGATGACTACTGAGAACTGGCCATTGGTTTTAGCAACATGGAAGCCATTGGTGACCCTGACAAGAATAATTTTTGTGGAATGATATGAAGATCTCTTAAGCAATAGTTCCATTTTGGTATGTTAACATAAAAATTAAGTAAATCTGGATTCTGGAAAATTGATTACTATCTTATCTAATTCGATATTCAAATATTTAGAGAAAGTTGCTAAAACACACCAAACAATACTGAAAACATCAAAAAGTTTCTAAACAAATTGAAATGCTTAGATTTTTGTTTGAACTACAACAGGACTCTGTGGTAATAACAGGTAAAAACTAACCAGACTGAAAGGAACATACAACCCCTCTTATAACTAGGACAGATTTTTTCATAGACCTTTACAAAATTACCTTGCATGGAACCAAGAACTTTTTTCTAATGAGAATACAAATTCTAAGCTCTTGAGCTCAATAGTACTAAAGAGTATGAACATGAGTAGCTTTTCATGAAACCAGTACAAAAGGTAAGAACTAGTTCACATACTTAAGAAAAAACTAGACTCCTTCTGCAATCTTACTCTGTTTTTATTATCAAAACCAAAAAACAGTACATCAAAAGACTACCTTGTGCAGTGAAGCCTTGACTGGAGAGAGCTTGTAGATTAACAAGAGTATGCCTTTTTCTCCAACTTTTGGTTCTGACCAATAGCCATGGCAAAGTATATAGATAACTGAAGTGTAAGGAGGCTGTGACAGTTGAGATTACTCACCGTTATGACGTCAAAATTCTAAGGCTCATGCCGTAACTGACAGATTGAAGTATCTATTTCCCTTCTGATTTGCTTCCTTCTTTTAACATCTTAATCTTTGAGATAATTGTAGCCTCATATGCAGCTGTAAGAAATAGTACAGAGATTATATCAGTCTTTTATTCAGCTTTCCCCAAAATACATCGCAAAAATACAGTACAGTATATCAAAACCCACTGTATTAGGCCAATTCATATTACTATCAAAATATCAGAGTCTGGGTAATTTATAAAGAAAAGAGATTATTTTAGTTCATAGTCTTGAGGCTGAAAGTCCAAGATCAAATTTTTCCCAACAATTTCCCCCCTAGTCAGGGCAATCTTCGTTGTGTCACATCATAGTGAATGACTCATGGCAGGAAAATGTGTGAGAGATCATATGGAGGGACAGAAAGCCAGACAGACTGGAGTGGGGCTGGTCTTGCTCTATTACAACAAATACCTTGTGAGCACTCAACAGTGTCTTAAGTGACTTAATCACTTCAGAGCAGAATTCTAATCACCTGATGATCTTCCAGTCAGCCCTGCAAAATTTTGTTCTGGTTTTAATTTAGCATATATTAATTGTACCTGGGTTTCATTGTGATATTTTTGTACATTCATATAATGTACTTTGATGAAGTTCTCCCCCTCCTGTATCTTTCCTCTCCACTTTTTACAGTTTTTACTGGGTTTCATTATGTTATTTTCAAATACTTCCATGATACACTATAGTTTAACTACTTGCTTTGCTGAAAGACTTCTGTGTTGTTTTCACATTGGGCAATTATAAGTAAAGCTGTTATAAACATTTATACGTAGGTTTTTGAATCAACATAAGACTCTTTCTCTAGAATGAATAACTAGGAGTTCAATATCTCTATTGTAATTGAATGTTTAGTTTTTTAAGACTATCAAACCGTCTTCTAGAGAGGCTGTATCATTTCACATTCCACCAACACCATGTAATTGGTTCACTTAATCTACATCATCACCCGTACTGTTGCCATTTTTTAAGATAGCCATTTTAGTAGATGTGCAGCGATACCGCATTGTGGAATGAATTTGAATTTCCTTGGTGATTAGTGATGATGAACATCTTTTCACGTGCTTATATGCCAATCGTATTTCTTCTTCAGAATCATGAACATACAATATTTTTCCCAAACAACTTTATGTAAAGACAATCTTCTCTTTCTTATAAACAACTGACTACTTCACAAATGAGGAAGCCACTGCACAGATAAGCTAAATACCTAGAAACCAAGCACCATTGAGGTAACAAAAGGGATTCAAATCAAGCCATCTCAAGAGATCACAGGAGAATAGGGAAGTGAGGCAACCTAAGTTGTATCACATGGAGAGTTTTCTTCCCATAACCATCATGTAGGACTGCCATTTGGACTTACTAACAAAGTTTATGGTTTCCCTTACAGGTTTCTGCAATAGTTATTTGAATACATATCTTGCTGTTGCTCACTAGACTCTAAGGACATCAAGGCAAGAGCCTGTATCTGACTTAATTTCCACAGACCTCTGACCACTGAAGAAATTTTGAAACTTTGTTGAGTGAATATATGAAACAGTTTTTTGCCATGGATGGAGACGAGAACATGGCAACTCTTTCACTTCATTCATTTAACACACAGTTTCTGAACCTGAACTAGGGGAAAGGCACTTGGATAGGTCTGGGAAGCAGAGACAAAAGCCACCCAGGTCCAGCTGTCACAAAAAGAAATTTGAATGGGAGGAAATAAAATTCAACATAGTCATGCTTATAACTGTGTAACACCAGACATTCACATACACCGAAAAAATTTAAAGAGTAAGGTGAGAGACTAAAGAGAGAATGTATATGACAGATTGTGAGAAGGGCAGACAAGGAAGGCTTCTTGAGGAATTCATTTGAAATGAGTGTTAAACTACAGTTTGGAATTAACAAGATAAATGGAGAGAGAGAGAGAGAGTGGGTTCAGGGGAGAGAGAGAGAGAGAGACAGACAGATAATAATACATGTTTGGAGGAATGTTACACTATTTCATGCAGGGCACAGAGAATCTGAGTATGTGGCTTTTCAGAATGGGTTTTATGCATCAGGTATTGTGGCTCTCCCCTGTAATCCTGGGACTCGACAGGCAGAAACCAGAGGATCCTGAGTTTGCTGCCAGCTGTGGGGGAAAGTTGCAAAGATCCTACCACACACACACACACACACACACAAAAATAAATCATAGATTGGTGAAAGAAGCAAAGATGGTGGTTGCTTAACTACCCTGGAAAAGGGAGATAAGAGGACCCCCAAAGGCACCCACAGGGTCCCCAAAACAGTGAGAAGCAAAGCCCTCTCTGAATCTGCAAACAGAAAAGCACTAACCACAGGAAAAATGGGAAAAACAACTGCAGCTCATCACTCCACCCCTGAAGTCACCATGCGGCTCCAGGCTCCATTACTTGGTACATGTAGGAACTTTGAGCTGCACGCTCCCCCCACTACATGACTTGCTACTTTCACCCTGAAATGCCAGGGAAACTAGCACCCTGTGTAACAGGACCCATGACTCCCACTGGTACACAGGTAATAGAATGTACAAGGCAGTAGGCTCGGTTCACCTGGAAGCAGAACCACTGAACTGTGCTCTCTGAAGCCCTTGAGGGAATCAGGCCCCAGAATTTCCACTGCTGGCAGGCTTGGTTCTCTGGTGCTGAGCATCTAGCAGAGACATGGAACTGCACTCCCCAAAGCCTGTGAGGGAAATCAGGCCCAGAACTCCTGCTGACAGCAGGCTTGGTTCTCCCCATGCCTGCAGCACTACTACACTACCCTCCTGGAGCTCATGCCTGGAAAGCAGGCCCCAGAACTCCTGCTGTCTGAAGGCTTGGTTACCCTGCGCCTGCAACAGCTGCCATGGCTCCTGGAAGCCCATAACCCAATGCAAGTAGATCTAGGGCCTCTGCTGCCTTGTGGGCACCAGAGGATGCAACCCCGCTGGCTTTGCTGCCCCATATGTACCCTCACCTTGCTACTCGGTGCCAGGCACCTGCCATTGCATGCCTAAGTGAACCCCAGGCTCCAGGCATTGTTATTCTGCTGGCGCCAGGATAACTCCCCCCACAGACCATGGAGGCTCAGCACTTCCCACTGTGCCTGACAGCAGGAGAGCCCTTGCTCCCCTGTCAAAGAGCAGGAACACCACATTTCCCAATGACAGGAAGAAAGCTGTAACCTGCCACTCCTGTTCCTCCAAGATACACAAAAGCCCAGTGCTTCATGCTGCACCTCCCTGCAGAAGAGTCATATCTCTCCTGACTAAGAGCTGGAAATCCAGCTCCTCCACTGAGTGGCAATCCACTACTCTGTTGGTGCTAGGAGGCCTGCCCCCCACAGTGCACAGACACCAAACTCTCACTGTGACTGCAGGAGAGTCCCTGTGCACCCATCAAAGAGCAGGAACTCCAACTCCCTCACTGAGGAGAAAAAAGAGGTAACTGGCACCACAACAAGAACTCTGCAAGGGGTAACCTATCCATCATACCCCTCTCTGAGGAACATTGCTGAAGCTCCAGGAGAAAAAAAACCTCAAAACCCCAACTACAGGGACACAAGGAATTAAAACCCTAGCCAAAACCAACTCCAGATGCATAAATCTCAATACAGAATGAAACAGCAAGACAACCACTCTCCATGAAAAGCCAATCCACCACTAAGGATCGAAACACTTATGTAGGGGAAGAGCTATCAAATGACGAATTCCAAAAAACAATCGTAAAAATGATTAACAACCTCAAAGAAGAAACAAAAAACTTAGTATTTGACCTCAAAGAGAACGTGAATGAGCAATTAAATGAGCTCAAAGAGAATACAAATAAACAGATGAATGAAATTAAGAAGACTACCAAGAATATGAAAGAGGAAATCAATAAAAATATGGAAATCCTGAAAAATAATCAATACAAAATAAACAACTCAATATCCCAAATAAATGCTGCTATCAAAAGCTTGGTGAATAGAGTGAAGAAAGATGAAAACAGAGTATCAGGAACAGAAGACAAAGTAGAGGAATTAGACCAAGCAGTAAAAGATCATGAAAGAATGCTAAGAAAATACAAATGGAACATGCAAGATATTTGGCACACCATGAAAAGACCACACTTAAAAATCATGGGTATAGAAGGAGGAGAAGAGATACAAACTAAGGCACTGATAACCTATTCAATAGAATAATAGCAGAAAACTTCCCTAACTGGAGAAAGAGAGTCACCCAGGTATAGGAACCTTACAGAACACCAAACTGTCAGGACCAAAAAAGAAACACCCCCAGACATAGCATAATGAAAACACTCAGCACACAAAGAATTCTGAAAGCTGCAAAAGAGAAAAGACAAGTCATATATAAAGACAAACCCATTAGAATAACAGCAGATATTTCAACTCAAACTCTAAATGCAAGATGGTCATGGAAAGACTTAATTCAGGCCCTGAAAGAAAGCAACTGTCAACCCAGACTTGTCTACCCACCAAACTATTCTTCCTAATTTGAAGCAGAAATGAAAACCTTCTACAACAAGGAAAAACTAAACAATTTGTGATTACCAAGCCAGCACTACAGAAGATACTTAAGGGACTTTTACATATAGAAGAGTAAACTAGAGTGAGACAGGAAGATTCAAGAAAGAATAAACCCTTTTGAGCAAGCAAACCAGTAAAAAAAAAAAAAAAAAAAAGGAATAGTTAAAACTAAACAACAGGGGAGGAAGAATGACTGGAAACAGTAAATACCTCTCAATATTAACACTGAATGTAAATGGCCTCAATTCCCCAATCAAAGACACAGAATAGAAAACTTGGTTAAAAACAAGACCCAACCATATGTTGCTTACAAGAGACTCATTTCACTGAAAAAAAAAAATAAATAAACACTGGCTTAGCGTCAAAGGCTGGAAAAAACATTTCCCAAACAAATGGACCCCATAAACAGGCAGAAGTAGCCATACTCATATCTGACAGAGCAGACTTCAGACTAAAATCAATCCGAAGAGACAAGGAAGGTCAATTCATATTGTTCAAAGGAAAAATTCATCAAGAGGAAATATCAATCCTTAACATACA